ATCATAATTAATTTGCTTTTCAAAATGCCTAGTGTATTTCATGATGAACAAGACTTAATAATTAAAAATTCTATCTGGAAGCTAGTTCGGAGGTCATTGATGGCAACAAGTTCATGACAAATTTAAAAGTAGTTTCAAAGGTGGCATAAATTCAAACCTTGAAAAAATAATAAATAAATAATTAAATAAATATAGTTGAAAGGAAAAACGAGTGTAGTCTCATGAAAGTGAAACACACGTAAGACTTAAGATAGTGCACCTTATTGAGTTCGATCTCAAAACAAAATAGGTAATGAGAGGAGTAACCAACTACGCTAAGCCCATTTTTCGTATAGAAGCAATATGGAGGAGTAGCACACTAGACTTAAAAGTTATCCCTATTTTTCACATAGAAACAATGTGAAGGAGTAGCCCAATAGACTTATAAGATAGTCATTTTTCCCTATAGAAGCAATGTGGAGGCGTAGCCCACTAAACTTATAAGTTAAGCCCATTTTTCCTATAGAAGCAATGTGGAGAAGTAGCCCACTACGCTAAGCAAATGTGGAGGAGTATCTCACTAGACTTATAAGTTAGACCTATTTTTCTTATAGAAGCAAAGTGAAGGAGCAGTCTACTAGACTTATAAACTAGACTCATATTCTATATAAAAATAATGTGAAGGAGTAGTCAAGTAGGCTTGTAAGCTAGACTCATTTTCCATATAGAAGCAATGTGGATGAGTAGCCTACTAGACTTATATGCTAGACTCATTTTCCATATAGTGGGACGGGTAACCCACTAGGCTTATAAGCTATGATCATTTACTAATAAGTTAGACCAATTTTTCCTATAAAAAGGATGTGGAGGAGTAGTCTACTGGGCTTATAAGTTGACTTATAAGTTAGACTCATTTTCTCTATTGTGGGACAACTCACAAGCAATAAAAGCAATGTGGAGGAGTAGCTTACTAGTCTTATAAGCTATACCCATTTTCTCTACAGTGGGACAACTCACAAGTAATAGAAGCAATGTGGAATAATAGCCCACTAGGCTTATAAGCTATGTTCATTTTCTTTATAGAAGCAACGCGGGGGAGTAGTCCACTATGCTTATAAGTTAGACTCGTTCTCCTTATAATGAGACAAGTCATAAGTGTTGTTCTATTATACTTGTAAATCTTTCACACAAAGCTCAAACCCACATAACATGTGAATCCTTCATATAAAGGAGTAAGGACAAACTCATAGCTAGGCTGCAAACGAGTCGAGCAGCTCGCGAGCGCTCGAGTCAAAGCTCGACTCGAGCTCGAGTTTGACCGATCTCGAGTCGAGCTCGAGCGGCTCGAGCACGAACTCGAGTCGAGCTCGGGCCCATATATTGCATTGTCGAGCGGCTCGCGAGCGGATCGAGATATGTGAAATTACTAAAATACCCTTGTATATATATGTAATTAATGGTTATTTTACAAAATTTCTTGAAAAAATTCGAGTCGAGCTCGAGCATTATGAATTCGAGTCGAGCTCGAGCTCTTGTATGTTTTGATCGAGTCGAGCTCGAGCACCAAAAATCGAGCTCGACGAGCTCGAGCTCGAGCTCGAGCACCTAAAATAAAAAATCAATCCGCTCGATAAGGCCAATGCTTGACTCGACTCGGCTCGTTTGCAGCCCTACTCATAGCGCACCATAAGCGGATGAGCTTAAGTGCACCTTAGTGAGGTCCTATCTCAAAACCAATTAGTGATGGAAATGATAGTCCACTAGACTTATAAATTATAACTATTTTTCCCATAAAAAACAATGTGAACAACTCACTAGTGATATTTTAATACGCTGCGAATTAAATGCCGGCGTTTTGATTTTTGGTGTTTCTATCGCTGTCTACCAAACATCGATAAATACCAATTTAACATTTTGGATTTTCGTCAAACCCTCTAATCTAGCATTTTCCTCAAAACGCTGAGAAAACTAACAAAAGTCATAATAATCATTACAAGCATGCTAAGACGAACTTAAAAGTGGACAATGCTACATGTACAACATTGGTTGACAATATTGATTGACAACTTAGTTAAAAATATCATCCACTCAAATCTCAACCATATATTTATTTACATCTCAACCACCCACATCTTCCCACATCATGTTGTCAAACTTTTTTGTACAAAAAAGTTGTACAAATAACATATTTCATATAATAATCTAATAAAAATATTAAAAATATTTTGGTACGTACAATCTTGTCTACAACCATGGATGGCCTTTGACCTTTCTCATGCTTGGCATACAAGTTGTATTTAAAAATAGATATAAAATAAAAAAAGATAATGACTAAAATTAATATAAGTATTCTGAACCGAAAAAATAATATAAATATTTAAATAATGTTGGATTGTAATTGGTAGTTAAATATATATAAGTATGTGAATTGTAATATTTTTTATTTTTTTTTACATAATAAAAATAGATACTTTTTACTTTTTAATTCCGTTGGCGGGATTGTGAATAAAAAATAATATTAAATTAGTAGTTTTTAATAAAATAATTAATTTTGTTTTATTTTAATTTTTAAATGAGATAAATACAGACTAACCATAGATTACTAAAAAATTGTGTCCAATTGATCATCTAAGCACATTATAGTTTCTTATGTATTAAGTTAATTAATTATTCAACTTTCGTAAAATATAATGTACTCAGAATCATAGTTAGACAACTACAGATATCATTTATAGCTCATTGTAACTAATTAGTGGGAAATATCATGAAATTTTGAAAATTGATATTTAATTGATTGTCAATAAAATCATGATGTTTCTATATTTTCCGATTTTAATGTGCTTAATTAAAGCGCCGCGTAGTCCCGTACACAAACAAATTAAATTATTTCGAAGACAAATTGTTATTCGCCATATTTTCAGATTTATTTTTATTTTTAATTATTAAAGCTTCATTTCTCAAAATACAGAAAAATAAAAAATTATGAACTTCTGTATAAGCGTAAATGAAACTTTTATACCTAATTTTAATATATTTACATTGTTATTAGATTTTAATCAACTGTTGTATTTGTTGAAGTTGATTCCGTACATTATATATACTATAACAATAAATTAAATTAATATTTATCAAAATCAGTAAAATTAATAAGCCGTAAAATCGATTGAACCGGTTCACAGTACCGACGACTTGTCCGTTTTACAAAAGAATTTTTCGAAGATAATTTTCAACAACACATTTGAAAAAATTTAAAAGCTTCCTCGCAACAATTAAATACTCTAAAATTAATTTTATTTTTCGAAGTTACTACTTCTACATATTTTATAAACGTCAAAATATTTATTTTCAATTACATTAAAAGCTATATATTAGTTAGAAAGGGGAAACTATAGCTAGGATACTTTATGATAATTCTTTTGTTACAGCCTAATTTGAAAGGCCTATAAATTTAATCACTCTATAAAGTCATCTCACTTTAAAAATGATTAGAAATAAATAATAACAATAATAAATGTGAGGTAAACTATTCAAAATTGAGAAATATCAAATAAATGTTAGGTATATAATAACGTTATAGGCTATCTTCGTGCTCTTGTATCAGAGAGATTTGCAATTGAAAACAGCCCAAATCTTTTGAGGCCCAATTGAGTTGATTTTGGACTGGTAATAGAATTGAGTCAATTGACTTTAAGATTGAGTATCAGCCCATAATCTATTGGCCCACAAATAAAAATGATTAAACTAATTGGATATAATCCATGCATAATAATGTAGTATAATGGATAGCATAAGCTATTTTTGACCAACAATCTACACATTAATTTTATTTATGTATTGATATCCAAAAAAAACTATCTCTTATATATAATGCGATGAGTCTAAGTGACATGTTTGTGTGCTTCACGAGCTTATTTGGCATAAATTAGTGCTTGAATGCGCAGAGTTTAAGTGACAGACTTGTGTGCTTCACAAGTTTATTTGAAATAAATTGGTGTTTCATATTGACATATGCTCAGGTTGGTTTTGACTATTAAATCTGAGAATTACCGTAAACTATTTTACATTTATTTTTTCGTAAGTTACCATAAACTACCCTTGCCCTTTTTATTTAATTCATATATTAATTTATTCTAAATACAAACATTATCACAATACAATAAAATTTGTTTGTTTAAATAAAAACGAATTAAATATATGAAGTTGTAAAAATATCAGTTTTATGCATATATAATTTTAAAAATATAATTTAAAATAATTTTTTTTTGGCAATTTTAGTGTAAAAATACGGACACTATTTGAATTGATTAATCACTTTGTTTGTTATTTTTTTATTGTTGCATATTCATGATACATATTTTCATAATAAAAGTATAAATTATTTTAACTTTTATTGTATAAATATATTATTTAAGTACTCGTGTAGTACACGAATATTGCACTAGTAAAACTATATAAATACTTTATTATGAAATAAAATTAATCATAAGATATGAGGTGCCGTAATCCAATTTCCATTTAGAGAACAAGTCCCACCTTCCATCATCAGTTCCACAGACCACCAAATTCCAGCTAATTTAATCCCAACAGAATAGTAATATAATAATGGAGCCAACAACTCATTGCACGCCACCAGACGGCGAGTCGCTGCGGATGAGATTGCGATCATGTCGGCGGCGGGGAGCGTGTGGAAGGCGCACGCGGCCATGGCGGCCGTGCAGCTGTTCTACGGCGGCTACCACGTCATCACCAAGGTGGCGCTCAACGTCGGCGCCAACCGGCTCGTCTTCTGCCTCTACCGCGACCTCATCGCCATCACGATTCTCGCGCCCGTCGCCTATTTCCGGGAGAAGTCTGTAATTCGAACCCCTCTCTTTCATTTCCCGCTATTTTGCCTCTCTGTGTGTGTTTGAGTGTGTGGATTGTGAGTAAATCGTCAATTAAGGTGGGAAATGTTCTCATTTGGTGAGAATTCTGTACTGTACGGGCAAGTTTGTGCTTAAGTTGCGCTCTGTTCAGTGAATTTACTGTGTCTGCCAGAATAATTATGAAGTTAGAGTTTGATGGGGTCGAAAGAAGGTCATACTTCAAGCATTCAATAGATGTGTTAGTTGTCATGAATTCTGAAAGTTTTAATTTGTACGGAGGGAGGAAAAATGCATACATGAGTTTTATTTGTAGTCGGGATGATCTCCATCCCTCTCAGTTACTAAGAACGAATGATAATAGGGGTTGAAATGGTGAAAGCTTAACGATGATCTAGAACGAATGATTTACTTTACCTTAAAATGTTTTACATTTTGGAATTTCCAAAAAAGAGAAAGCAAAGATTACTTGGGACTTCGTTAAAACCACATGTTAGATCGTCCCCTCTCTTTACTTATGACACTTGCAAAACGTTGTTTCCGTTTGAAATACTTACGTGGCTTTCTGAAGTACCTGAGCTCCATAGATGGGTGAATTCCACTATGGACTCTGAACTAACATAAGGAAATTGCGGAACTTTTGGTAGATCGACTTACATAGCAGATAATATCGCGTTGTTGCAACAAAACACGTCTCGGTGATGCTTTGCCGTGTCTATCTGTTTCCTGTTTCCTTAACAACACTTCATTGTTAGATTCTTTTGGGAATCCATGCGATGATAAGAATGAAGCTTATCATTATTTTCGATCGACTTAACAATTGTACGCTGAAGCTGCTTATATATTTAAGTGAACTCAAGAACTTGACTCATTTATGAAATGTGTGAAAATGATCAAGTTATATGGAACAATTTCGTAATGTTACTTTTTTTTTTTGGTTAATATAAAACGTGCAGCAGTCATCTGTGTTTATTTTCCTGGTTTGCAGGAGACTGAGACTGCCATTAAATAAGCACCTTTTAACGACATTCATGTTCCTTGGTTTAACTGGGTATGTGAAGTGTCTATATATCTAGGTTTTGTTTGAATATTAATTCTGCCTTTCATTTTTATTTCCTTTTTTCTGTCTTTTGCTGTTGAGTTAGGATTTTCGGAAACCAGCTTTTGTTTCTTTTTGGCCTTGGGTATACAGATCCAGCTTATGCTGCAGCCATACAGCCTGCTATCCCAGTCTTTACATTTGTGTTAGCTGTTATCATGGGGTCAGTCCAGACTATCTTCAAGCTATTTCTATGATATTTTGCACGCATGATGCTATCTATTGGTACTGATTTCCATGTTTTCTGTTGATGTTGTCAGAGTTGTTTGATTTTCTTCTCTGTATCCTATGTGCAGTACAGAAACAGTGAACTTATGGAAAATTGAAGGCCAAACAAAGTTAGGAGGCACTTTTGTTTGTGTGTCTGGTGCCATTCTAATGGCTATGTTCCGTGGTCCAGCTGTGTTTGGACACGACGAAGCAGATTTTGCCTCAAATGGGGAGATAGGAGCCAAGGGTCAGCCAGAGCCTCCGGCTTGGTTGATGTCTACTTCAATGGGGTTAGGGATTGACAGTTGGAACCTTGGGGTTTTATGCTTAATTGGGAACTGCATGTGCATGGCGGCTTATCTGGCGTTTCAAGTAATTTTTACAAATTTATAAGCAAACTTTCGTTGCTTGTTCGGTACACTGAATTCAAATAACTTTCTTTATTTTAGTATTTATTGACTCTTATCGATTTGTCAGTCAGTTTTTCTTGTATTCACACAGATTGACCATATATATATGACAATCCTTTACTATTCTCAATTTCTCATCATCTTATGCTGCTTTCAGCTTTGAGAAGCTTGGATAGGATTTGGTAGTATGCATTTGGTTGAGTATTAAAAAATGCGTCAAATCCTTGTGTTCCGCATCATAATTACCTTGTTTCATCAACAAAAATGATAGACTTATAATTTAATTATTTTGATAGCTCAAATGGAATTTTATGTAATCTTATTTGTGACTTTGTTTTGTTTAATCTCTATCAGGCTCCAGTTTTGACCAAGTATCCTGCAAATATATCAGTGACGGCCTATTCATATTTCTTCGGTGTACTTTTTATGATAGCGACTGCATTCTTTTTGACTGATGAGTCAGCAGAATGGAAGCTCACAAAATCAGAGGCTGTAGCAGTTTGCTATGCTGTAAGCTATCTCCTGTTATATGATTGATGAATTTGAATGGTAGATCTTACTCTTGGATCATAGTCTTTTCATTCATTCTTTAGTCATCCTTATGTTTCCTTCTCGTTCTAGGGAATAATAGCATCGGCCCTGAATTATGTGATTATGACATGGTCAAACACGATCCTTGGTCCTGCCTTGGTTGCTATGTATAATCCACTTCAACCTGCTGCATCAGCTTTTCTCTCCAAAATTTTCCTGGGAACCACGATATATTTGGGAAGGTACATTCTGTACTTGTTCCTAATATTTGCACACTCCATCCCGAAATAATTGTCATTTTTCCTCTTTTCTTTTGACTCAAATTTATCATCATTTTAAGATTTTAAGGCATTTTTGCTCCAAAGACAACAAAGTGCCGTTATTTATTGCGCAAAAATTTGGTACGTTATTTGTACAATGAGTGTTAGAGTAAGAAATACATTAAATAAACCCTATTTAAATAAGAATGAATGTCATTTCTTTAGACAAAAAAAAAAAAAAAAACATGTACTCTGGCAAAACACATTTCATTTTTAGGATCGAAAAAAAAAAAAATTAAACTGCATAGTTCTAATTTGTGTGAAATCAACACGACTATCAAGTATTATATATATACATATAAATCTAAAATCTATTTGCATGTTCTCATCTTAGTCGATATTCCATAAGATCATATGATTTCCACATAATTGAAATCATTATTCCTATGTGCCTATGGATTCTTGTATAACAAACAGCATTCTTGGAGGAATACTGATCATAGCCGGGCTTTATATGGTCACTTGGGCATCCTACTCAGAAAGACAATCGAGCCTTTTAATTCCTCCTGCTGCTCATTCATCTGAACCACTCATCAATAGGCATTCATCTTGGGACAAGATTTCGTATATGGCTGGGCAGCTTTTAGCGGGCCCTTCAAACTCGCGATCAAAGACTGTCGATTGAACTCACAACTTTTGTGGTAAGCAGTTGACGATAGCAATAGTTTGTATGTTTGTATTTTCCACTATCCGATGCATGGATAAATTGCGATATTCGCTTGGTAAATTTTCGAGAGTTAACTTTTACGCGCGTGTATATTTTATGGTTGTCTTGTACAATGAGACATTACTTTTGTTTGTTGTAATAAAATTTGAATATCGGTGGTCCGACAGGTAATTCCATTCCAGTTTTTGCCTAATTAAACACTCATTAAAATCATGTGCCTAAGATCTACACTAAATTAAATTGTTTCGTATTAGTCAATAGTCATAGTTGCAAAGTCGTAATTAAAAAGAAAAAAGAAAAGTATTATGTTTTATAAAATAATAAAAACAATTTATAATTAAATTAGCAATACTATTTTAATTTATTATGGAAGTTCTAACCTATGCTTCAGCCTCATGCCAGGTCTTACATTAAAATATCACATCTATACGAAATTAATTTGGATTTAATTTTGGAACGTAGTTCGGTCAAAAGAGTAATGCGTAAAGAAAATTATTGTAAATGCCAAACATCGAAATCCCAAGAAAAATGACAATTTTTTGTCCAATAATATTAATACATTTTGAAATTTTATCCAAGGACCAAAACATTTTCTGCCAAAAAAACCCAGTCATGTGGTGTGGTGTTATTCTTTAATTTAATTATAGCCACCCAGGCAAAGAATAAAAAATGAAAATAAATAATTATATCCGTCTCACAGCCTGGCAAATTTGTACTGGCCCGTGAGGCACCAGTGCTACTACCCTACGCCCTGGCACACCTACAAGGTGTGTCAGAGACAATTTAAAATGAACATGTTATGTTACAAAATGAACATGTGTCCTTGACACATCTTGCTAGGTGTGCCAGAGCGCACTTAGGTATTTGCGGCGAGACACTGCCATACGAGATGTGTGAATATTTGTAAATCAAACGGTTAAAAAGCCCACTCTGGCAAATTTGTACTTGCCCGTGAGGCACTGCCCGACGAGCTTTTTAACTCTCGATTCACACACACCAACATTGTTATGTGCGTGAATATTTGTAAATCAAACGGTTAAAAAGCCCACTCTGGCAAATTTTACCTGCTTGTGAGGTATTACTCTTCGAACTTTTTAACCATCGATTCACTCACACCAAGATAGGTATGTGTAATGTGTGTAAATCAAACGGTTAAAAGGTCCACTTGCACTCATAGCTACATCATCTTGTGCAAGTTGAGATCAGTTGACCAAATAAAACTGATGGATTTGATGGCAGCTAAATAATTGAGTTTTTAATAATGAAACAATAATTCACCTCAACTTGAACGTTCAAGTCTTGAAGAAGATCTCAAATAGCATTTGGCTTAGACGACCAAAATCCAATTTAGCTTTATTTGTATAATCCAAGTTGCAGTCATTAAACAATTTATAAGATTATAGACATAAAATAAAGTATTGTTGGAATATCACTTGAGAGTTGTCCCACATTAATTCTATAAAAAATAACTCTCTACTATATAGCCTAGTGGACTACTCTTCTTATCACCTGATTTTGAGATGAAACATCACTAAGGTGCATCTAAACTCACCCTCTTATGGTGCACTTCATCTCATATCCGTAAATCAAGTAGTCTCACACTTGAAAACTTTGAATTCATGATGACCAATCACATTAGACAAATATTGAGAATTCAAGTTAGAAAAAAAAAAAAAAAA